GCTAGTTTGAATGACTTTGTATACTGCAGGGTAGCTTGTGGATTTACTCCAGGTGGAACTAAAGTCTGATTTAACACTTGGTTATATTTCACATCATTCATCCAGATCTGTGAAGTAACTAAAGGTATTAAATACATGTAGTGGAGTATAAGTACACCATGTACCTCTGAACTGTAGTGGAGTAGAAGTACACAGTAGCATGAAAGGGAAATACTCAAGTAAAGTACAAGTACCTCTAAGTACAGAACGTGAGTAAATGTACTTAGGTACTTCACACCTCTGGAGACGAGCAGAGGAGGAGAATCTAACCCTGAAAGAATTATTTTATAAATGTATAAATATAAAGAGTTTGGCTGTTCTCAGGTCTTTAACACCTCCCTCCTCCTCCTCCACCACCAGACTCACCTTCTTCCCGTAAGCAGCTCCCATTCTCTCCCCTCCGGCCCCCCCCCTGCTGCCCGGGGCTCCGTTAGCCCCCCGAGAGAAGACTCATCAAACAGGACCAGGACCAGGACCAGGACCAGGACCAGAACCAGGACCAGAACCAGGACCAGAACCAGGACCAGAACCAGGACCAGAGAGAAAACGCTCCGGGGGGAGACCTGTTAGCCTGTTAGCCTGTTAGCGCCGTGCCGTCAGCTGTGAGGAGTTAAGATGCTGTGATGGGATTACTGTAATGAGAGGTGACAGGTGAGGGGGGGGGGGGGGGGGGGGCATCTGGTCTCTGTTGCCATTCAAGAAAGGCTTTCAATCTCAAAATGTTGACTTTTTTCATAAAATCTCAAAATTCGTACTTTTTTCATAAAATCTCAAAAGTAGACTTTTCCTTAAAATCTCAAAAATCTCATTGGATTGAATGAGGGGGTGGGTCCTGAGACTAGGGGCTGTTTATTGACCATCAGGGGGCCCGGAGTCTCTTATTGTGAAAAGCCTTTCTTGAATGAAAATAAGAAACTGAACCAATATCTGCTTTATAAAGTTCCTTTTCAACCAGCAAACACCTTAAATGCAGCTCAGAGCTGTGCTGGAGATGCAGGGAGGAACCTGGGGACTGTTATCCTGTTATTCTGTTATTCTGTTATTCTGTTATTCTGTTATTCTGTTATTCTGTTATTCTGTTATCCTGTTATTCTGTTATTCTGTTATTCTGTTATTCTGTTATTCTGTTATTCTGTTATTCTGACACAAAACTGCATGACATGATTCAAATAAAGTCAAGGCTGTATTTCAACTTGTTTCCCAAAGTCTCGGGCCCTGGAGAGCGAGATCTCTCATCATTCTTGGGCTCCTTTTAGGATACTATTTCTTAAATGTCAGATTTTTTTCTCAAAATTCTGACTTTTTTATTAGAATGTCAACATTTTGACTTTTTGATATTTTCAATATCAAAACATTTTTTGTTTTTTTTTCTTAAAATTCAAATGTTCTGAAAAATCTCAACATTTTTACTTTTCTTTTGTAAAAATCTCCAAATGTTGATTTTTTCTTAAAATCTCCAAATTCGAACTTTTTCCTTAAAGGGCCCATGTCATGCTTTTCCGGTTATTACCCGTCCCCTTGTGTGTTATGAAGGTTTTTATGCATGTAAACGGTGTGCAGAGTCAAAACCCTCAAAGTACACCCTGTAGCGAGTAAAACTCTAACACAGAAAATACCTCCCCAAAACGCCTCGTTGGAGATACGTCACTGCCCATTTGAGTCTTCCATTTCCGGGTACCGCCTGATGTCATGCGGTACCCGGAACGAAATGGACCAATCCGGAAGAGCTATGGTCACACCCAGCGGCGCTGGCCGCACCCTCTGCCAGCCTAACATTTACTGTTGGAAGCTCTGGTTCAGTTCACAATCGATCCAGTCATGCCACTGCCAAGGACCTGTTTCCTGAAATGTGAGGAGAAATCTGAGCTGTTTGTCCTACCGACGGAAGAACCACCACGAAGTCAGTGGTTGAAATGTCTTTTTAACACTGTTCCTTCAGAGGTTCGAAGAACGTTACTGTGTGCGCGGCATTTCACAGACGAAAGCTTCCAAAACATTGCCCAGTTTGAGGCCGGATATGCACAGCATTTGAAACTGAAGGACGATGCCATTCCTAGTTTGATTGGACCGTTTGGAGCAGGGGAAGATTCGGGTACACAACCTGTACGTTTGCATTGTTATTTGTGTATTTATCAAACAAGGTATCTACCAAGACTGTTTAAATGTGTAAACATGTTTCGGACTGCTAAGCCAGTGCTAACTGTGCTAACTAAGTTGCTAGCGTTTTCATATCAACTATAATATCAGCAGATGGCCTTACATACATGTATCTCATAGCAGGAGAATGTCTGCATTCACACACGAAATACTCATAGACAGTATACTCCAGGTGATTTACCGTACGGTCATTCGCGAAACGTAATTACATTATAGCTGGCGTTCCGAGCGTGTATGCTACCGAGCTAAACAACAAGGCTACTAAGAGCTAGACATGAGTTTGCTCGGAAAAACATTGTTTTTATGCCAGCTACAATGAATGTAGCAGACTACCCGTATAAGATTGCAATTGTAAACATGTGCTTGATAGCCTAATATGAACCACTATCTGTTGTTCATAGTATAGTATAGCATATTGAACAACTGAACAACTAGCAAACGTAGATTAGCATTGTAATCCAGCTGGCAAGCTGACGAACATCAAACAACTCAGTTTATTTCACACTTCCAGCAGAGACAACGGGGAAATCCCCTCTCTGTGCCCGCTCACAGACCCCCAAAGGACTGTATATTACAGTTGGCTTTCCTCCGACGCTGATAGCATGTATAGCTAACGAGGCTAGCTATACATGCTAGCGGGAAACATTGTATTCATGCCAGTTACAATGACCGAACGTAGCAGAATACCCGTATAAGATTGCAATTATAAACACGTTATTGCTAGCCTAATATGAACCACTAGCTTTTGTTCATAGTAGTTTTATTACACTAGATTATAGTTGCCGTTCCTCCGAGCTAACGTTCATATCGTGTTTGCTAACAAGGTAAACAAGATAGCTAGGTTAGCATATTAGCAGGCAAGCTTACTGTGTTGATTATATAGATGGATTAGATAGATCCACACTCCTACCACAACTACTACTAACGAATCTAAAACAACTAAGTTTCTCTAATATTTTGTGATTTGCATTTGATTTCGTCCAGCCAGATCCTGCCGGACAATACATCACGGGGACCGGACTACCACACTGAGGCCTCGTCCTAAAAAGCCCCAGTTGCGATAGGCAAGATGCCGACAACGGGGAGGAATGGATGATATACCGTGTATATATGTATATTTATGTTCATTTTGTACATTTCTAAAAATAAAGTTTGATGGAAATACTTAGCCTTTCTTCCCCGAATTATTTGCTCCTATAACATATCATTCATATATAGCAAATCATGAATTGATTTCTCATCAAACAGTAGTAGTTTATTACAGGTAAAAATAACGTACTCTTCTATAACAACAGTTGTAGGTACAGTTCGGTTAGTTAGCGTATAAAATATACGGCTGTACCGACGCCATTATAAGACTGATGTTCCGAGAGCGAGCCGAAAAAAGCACTGTTAGACATGGGCGGAGCCTCTCTGGTGGTTGACTAATCAGAACAGAGTGGCCGAGCTGACCAATCGGAGCACACTAGGCTCACAGGGAGGGGGGGGGGGCAAGAGCTCCAACGAGTCGTTTAGTGGAGAGAGTGAATACTGCTGAATACACATACTTGACAGAGATGCTGTATGCGAAACCAATGTGAGTTTGGAAAATTGCACAGTATAAATCTATTTTAGTATACCTCAACAATGTAATTATGATCAGTGGAAATGGCCATGACATGGGCCCTTTAAAATCTCAAAAATCGGACTATTTTCTCAATATCAAATAATTCAGTTTTTTATCTTAAAATTCATGTTCTTCTGAAAAATCTTAAAATGTTGACTTTCATTTTTTTTTGACTTTTTCCTAAAATCTCCAAATTCAGTCTTTTCAAAAAATCTCCAGATGTTGACTTTCTAAAAATCAAAAAATTCTGTCTTTCAGAAAATGTTGACTTTTTTCTTAAAATTCTTACTACTTTCTCAAAATTCAGATTTTTTTCGCAAAATCTTAGAAACATAAAGATCTTTTTGAACATTAAAGAATGTCGACGTGTCTAACATCTTTAAATGCGGTCATGTTATATACATGTTTGATTGAATGTAAAGAAATGTTAAGGACTTTAAAACGTATTTTTAATATTGCAGATGAGAGAAATACACACATTGTATTTAACGTTGGAATTGTCCCAGAGTTTCACGCCATAACACACAGAAACACACACACATTATTACTGTGAAGAGTTTGTACATTGATTGCTTTCAGAGTTTAAAGGTGGGGTAGGTAAGTTTGGAGAAACCAGCTCGAGATCGCTAGAATTTGAAAATACACAACCGGAAAAAATCTGCCACTTCCTTCCAGAGCCCCTCCTCCAACACACACGAACGCGCACATGACCAATGAGGGCACCAGATAAGTTTGTGCACAGATGGAAGGCTGACAGGCAGGTAGGCCATCCAGTTATTTTAGCCGGGCCGGCTCAGATGATTGGTCGTGCTTTTTACAGTACTACAGCTTCCACAGATGATATTTTATTATGGATTTGTTGTCAAAGCACTTCAGATATTCATTGCTATCGGGATGTTAAGAGCATTCCATGGAATATAACAACAAGTGTATCTCCAGCCGGTTTCTCAAACTTACCTACCCCACCTTTAATAAAGAGGTCTGAACACGTGGTTCTAAGAAAACAAACTGCAGATAGAGAACAAACAGGATTTATTATTTACACAATAAATAAAAACGGCTTCTTAAATCCATCTTTCAGCATTTATCATTATCCTGATTTACTTCCAATGATTTCATGTTTTCAGTGGGTTACGAGGGGGGGGGGGGGTTCCTCAGTGGGGGAGGGGTTCCTCAGTGGGGGAGGGGGTTCCTCAGT